TGCACAAGCTGGATTCTGGCAGTTTACAAGAAATTGTGGCATACATGCCGCAAACTTTGTGGCAACCTTGCCACATTAGTTGCCACAAGTGCTAATTTGCATGCGAAAATATGCATATGCTGCAAGCGTGCCGCAAATCACTTGTGGTACACACGCCACAAAGTTGTGGCAAGCTTGCCACAAGTATGTGCCAGAAGCCTTGTATTTCCGTAAGGGTGGTCATGGTAGATGTTAGTTCTCAGAGTTATCTTAAATCAAACTTACCCTTACAAAATTGTATAATTCAGAAATATTGTTTTAAATTGTATTGTACTTCTAAATTCCATAGGTAATTTAAAATCTGGCTGGGTACAGTGGATGACAGCTGGCAGCGGTGTTGTGCATAGTGAAATGCCGTCTGATGATATCATGAAAAATGGTGGAAAATTGGAGGGATTTCAACTTTGGGTTAACCTTCCAGCTAAGGTATAATGAGGTGAAAAATTGCACTTTACATTTCCCATGACTATATATAATTGCATAATCAACAACCATAATTTGAATATTTCTCAGGATAAAATGATTGCACCCCGATACCAAGATACGCCAAATGAAAAGATCCCTGTGGCCACGACACCTGATGGGAAAGTGAAAGTCAAAATAATTGCAGGGAAATCACTAGGTAAGGCTATAAAGTTGATTATTCTTGAACAATAGGAGGAGAATATAATTTAAAGAGGGGGGGGGGTAATTTGTTTGTTTTACCTTGTACTGGACCATTATTTTAGGCTACCATATCTTATTCAATATTTACTTAGATCACTCAGTACTACACAGCTGAATGTGACTGGGACAATTATGTTACTTCACCTGACCTGACTGACTTGGCAAAACAGGTCAGCTCGACACGATATCACAAGAGACTGCAAGGTAATCATATGAGTATATGAAACACAATGTAATTGATATATATATTCACTGTTTGTACAGGTGCAGAGGCAGTAATAGAAACAAGGACCCCTATAATGTACCTGGATATCCGTCTTCAACCCGGAGCCAGATTCACCCAAGATGTTCCAGAATCATATAATGGATTTGTGTATGTCTGGAAAGGTGCTGGATATCTTGGAAATGATGAAAAAACAGCAAATATGGGACAAGTTGGAATCCTTACAAGTGGTTCTGTATTCACAGTAAAAGCAGCTG